TAAAAACTCTGGACAAAATATAAAAAGAAACTACCTGAAGGCACTGGACAGCAACCAAAAACAGGCTGAAAATGCAAGAGTGTCAGCACTTGAAAAAGGGAATAGCAATGAGAAGTTTCCTTTTTTTTAATAAATGGCTTTTTGCCTGAGGGAAGTCCTAGGAAAGCCAGGTTAGGTAATAGAATCTGGATAGAAACTACTGTCTTACTGGCATGAAGAACCAGATGACAGAGTTCAGAATGATTCTATCAGGTGGAAAGTGGTGGGGGAAATCTAGAAAAGGAGATAGCCAGAATGGGAGAGGTTCAAAGTCTACATACAAACTTGGCCCAAATCTTACTGCAGCAGGCCAGGTAAGACAAAAAACTGAATAGAGAATTTAGCTGCTGACGACGGTGGGAAAGATGGTTTGAATTCTGAGCCCATTCAAGTGAAATGCCTGTTAAAAAACAAAATAATAATTAATATTATTTAATATTATTTGGATGTACGCAACAGAAACCAGTATTTCTACAATAAATTGTTCACGTCTAGGATGCAATTCAAAATTCAAAGAAACAGGAAAGCATGCTCCATACCCAAAGAGTAAAGGTGATCTATGCAGACCAACACTAAGATAACCTGAATGCGTAACTAGAGAAGGAATTTTTTAAGCTACCTTCACGTAGGTTTCTCTAATTTAGTAGCTTATATAACCCTAGTACAGCTACAGAAATCAAGAAATTAATGTTGATACAATACTATCAAGTAATTTATAAACCTTATAGGAATTCTGTCAATAAATCCACTAATGTCTTTTTATTCTGGCCCAGGATCCAATCCAAGACCCCACACTGCACTTAGTTGCTACATATTCTCAGTCTCCTCCAGTCTGAGCTAACTCTCCAGTCTTTCTTTGTAGATAAGAATTTTAAAGCAGCTACTATAACTATTCTCAAGGATTAAAGAGTAAAATAATCTCTTAATAAATGAATAAGAAATTTCAGCAGAGAAACAGAAACTATAAAAGAACACAAATTCTAGACCCAAAGTTATAATATTATTTTGTAATTTTGTAATGACAAAAATTAAAATTCATTGGCTACAAAATAAAGATGGCAGAAGAGTCAGTAAACTTAGAAGAAAGTTCAATAGATATTATTCAATCTGAACAACACAGAGGGGAAAAACAATAAGAAAACTGAAGAGTGCTGTGTATTACACAACATCAAAGGTCTAAACCTACATGTTATAGGTATAATTATAATTCTATAATCAGAACTAAGAGAGAATGGAGCAGAAAAAATATTTGGAGAAATAATGACTGAAAATTTCCCAAATGGAGTACAAGATGGAAATTTACAGATCAATGAAACATAAGCAGGACAAAATACAAAGAAAACACCTAAGCACATCACAGTCTAATAGTCAGCAATGAAAAAGACAAAACTGCTAAAACAGCCAGAGAAAAATGACCAATCATATAAGAAAACAATCATAAGAATTACTGATTTATAGCCAGGTGTGGTGGTACACACCTGTAGTCCTGGCTATTTGTGGGGATGAAGCGGATCACTGAAGCCTGGGAGTTTGAGGCTACAGCGAGCTATAATTGCGCCACTGCACTCTAGCCTGAGCCACAGAACAAGACCCTGTCTCATTCATTCATAAAAGAATTACTAAATTCTCATTTTAAAAAATAACAAAGGCCAAAAGACAATGGCAGGTCATTTTAAGTGAGTGTGTGTGTGTGTGTGTGTGTGAGAGAGAGAGAGAGAGAGAGAGAGAGAGAGAGAGAGAGAGAGGGAGAGAGAGAGAGAGTGTGTGTGTGTGTGTGTGTGTGTGTGTTTTGAGACAGTCTCACTCTGTCACCCAGGTAGCCTCAACCACCCAGGCTCAAGCAATCCTCCCAAGTCAGGAACAGCTGGGACTACAGGTGTGCACCACCACACTCAGCTAACACCACACTTCTAAATAACAACACAGTTCAAACAAACAAAAAATCACAAATGAAATTAGAAAATGCCTTGAATTTAATCAAAATAAAAACAAAACATACCAAAATTTGTGATATTCAACTAAAGCAGTACTGAGAGAAAAATGTATAGCTTTAAATGCCAGTATTTGAAAAGAAGAAAGCTATAAAATGCCCCAAGATTCTAGCTCAAGAAACTAGAAAAAGAGCAAATTAAACCCAACATAGAAGGAAAGAAATATAAATAAAAGCAAACATGCAAACAGAAACAACAGAGAAAATGAACAAAGGCAAGAGTTGATTTTTTTTTTTTTTCTAAGATTAACAAAATCAGGACTGGGTATGGTAGCTCACACCTATAATACCAGCACTTCAGGAGGCAATGCAGGAGAATCACTTGAGGCCAGGAGTTTGGACCAGCCTGGTCAACAAAGTGAGATCCACCATCTCTACAAAAAAAATTTTTTTTAAATAGCCAGGCACAGTGGTGTGTGCCTATAGTCCCAGCTACTCAGGAGGGTGAGGTAGGAGGATTGCTTGAACCCAGGAGCTGGAGTTTACAGTAAGCTATGACCACACTACTGCACTTAAGTCTGGGCAACAAGGCTCTATCTCAGAAAAAAAAATTTTTAAATAAAATAACAAAATTGATAAATACAGATTAACCAATATCAAAAATGAAAAACAAAATCACAGCCAGGCACGGTGGCTCACACCTGTAATCCCAGCACTTTAAGAAGCCAAGGCAGGTGGATCACCTGAGGTCAGGAGTTTGAGAACAGCCTGGCCAACATGGGGAATCCCCATCTCTACTAAAAATACAAAAATTAGCCAAGCATGGTGCGCCTGTAATCCCAGCTACTTGGGAGGCTGAGCCAGGAGAATCACTTAAACCAGGGAGGCAGAGGTTGCAGCAGTGAGCTGAGATCATGAGACTGCACTCCAGCCTGGGCAACAGAGTGAGACTGCATCTCAAAAAAAAAAAAAGGACAAAAATCACTACAGACCATACATACATTAAATTATTAAATGAATAATACAATGAGGCCGAGGCGGGTGGATCACGAGGTCAAGAGATCAAGACCATCCTGGTCAACACGGTGAAACCCTGTCTCTACTAAAACTACAAAAAATTAGCTGGGCATGGTGGCGCGTGCCTGTAATCCCAGCTACTCAGGAGGCTGAGGCAGGAGAATTGCCTGAACCCAGGAGGCGGAGGTTGCGGTGAGC